ATTGTTACTGAGGGACACAGAATTGTTACTGAGGGACACAGAATTGTTACTCAGGGACACAGAATTGTTACTCAGGGACACAGAATTGTTACTCAGGGACACAGAACTGTTACTCAGGGACACAGAATTGTTACTCAGGGACACAGAACTGTTACTCAGGGACACAGAATTGTTACTCAGGGACAGACACAGAATTGTTACTGAGGGACACAGAATTGTTACTGAGGGACACAGAATTGTTACTCAGGGACACAGAATTGTTACTCAGGGACACAGAACTGTTACTCAGGGACACAGAATTGTTACTCAGGGACACAGAACTGTTACTCAGGGACACAGAATTGTTACTCAGGGACAGACACAGAATTGTTACTGAGGGACACAGAATTGATACTGAGGGACACAGAATTGTTACTGAGGGACACAGAATTGTTACTCAGGGACAGACACAGAATTGTTACTGAGGGACACAGAATTGTTACTGAGGGACACAGAATTGTTACTGAGGGACACAGAAATTGTTACTCAGGGACACAGAATTGTTACTCAGGGACACAGAACTGTTACTCAGGGACACAGAATTGTTACTCAGGGACACAGAACTGTTACTCAGGGACACAGAATTGTTACTCAGGGACAGACACAGAATTGTTACTGAGGGACACAGAATTGTTACTGAGGGACACAGAATTGTTACTCAGGGACAGACACAGAATTGTTACTGAGGGACACAGAATTGTTACAGAGGGACACAGAATTGTTACTCAGGGACACAGAATTGTTACTCAGGGGGACACAGAACTGTTACTCAGGGACACAGAATTGTTACTCAGGGGACAGAAGACACAGAATTGTTACTGAGGGACACAGAATTGTTACTGAGGGACACAGAATTGTTACTCAGGGACACAGAATTGTTACTCAGGGACACAGAACTGTTACTCAGGGACACAGAATTGTTACTCAGGGACACAGAATTGTTACTCAGGGACACAGAATTGTTACTCAGGGACAGACACAGAATTGTTACTGAGGGACACAGAATTGTTACTGAGGGACACAGAATTGTTACTCAGGGACAGAAACAGAATTGTTACTGAGGGACACAGAATTGTTACTGAGGGACACAGAATTGTTACTGAGGGACACAGAATTGTTACTCAGGGACACAGAATTGTTACTCAGGGACAGACACAGAATTGTTACTCAGGGACACAGAATTGTTACTCAGGGACACAGAATTGTTACTCAGGGACAGACACAGAATTGTTACTCAGGGACACAGAATTGTTACTCAGGACAGACACAGAATTGTTACTCAGGGACACAGAATTGTTACTCAGGGACAAAGAATTGTTACTCAGGGACAGACACAGAATTGTTACTCAGGGACACAGAATTGTTACTCAGGGACACAGAATTGTTACTGAGGGACACAGAATCGTTACTCAGGGACACAGAATTGTTACTCAGGGACACAGAATTGTTACTCAGGGACACAGAACTGTTACTCAGGGGACACAGAATTGTTACTCAGGGACACAGAATTGTTACTCAGGGACACAGAATTGTTACTCAGGGACAGACACAGAATTGTTACTGAGGGACACAGAATTGTTACTGAGGGACACAGAATTGTTACTCAGGGACAGACACAGAATTGTTACTGAGGGACACAGAATTGTTACTGAGGGACACAGAATTGTTACTCAGGGACAGACACAGAATTGTTACTGAGGGACACAGAATTGTTACTCAGGGACAGACACAGAATTGTTACTGAGGGACACAGAATTGTTACTGAGGGACACAGAATCGTTACTCAGGGACACAGAATCGTTGAATTAAAGAGTATGTCAGACAACACGCAGAGGAGTGGCAGAGGAGGCAATGTTTCAGGAGCGAGCAGACGTGGCAGCAGAGGAAAGGGGTCGAGGGCACTTGTCGCAGCCAGAGGCCAGTGCTCCCGGTGTCATCCAGCGGTCGTGTCTCCACCGACAACCCTGCCGTCATCGATTGGTTGGCTCGGTTGTCTTCCTCTTCCCAGGTCACCTCTGACACCTACAGCCAACGGTCGGTGGGTACGTCAGACACAACCGTTAGTTGGCATGGCCCGGGAGCAAGCCCACTGAAATCACGTGTCCTCTACCTGCCCCTGTCTCTTTTGGTGTTCCCTCACCAAGCGAAGTATCGCATGCTGTGGGCTCAGCCCCACTGTACAGTGAGGAAGAGCTAACAGAGGGCGGTCAGGAACGGGGGGGGACATCCGCCTCTTCAGCAGCCAGGCGAAGAAGTACTGGCGAGGAGAGTGGCTCGGTAGCTGGTCTAGAGACAGGTCTGTCTCCTGACCCACACGCAGCCGAGGGGGCTAGTAGTGAGGCGGAGACCCTAATTGATGATGATGAGGCTGATCGCACTTGGCAGCCTCGTCGTCATCAGGCTATTGCTTCCGCATCATCAGGAGAAGAGGGTGCCAGCTTGGCAGCGAGCAAAACAGTCGGTGGGTTGCCCAGGAGGCAGCAAGGGTCGCAGCAGTGTCAGTGGAGGCAAACGGCCACGGAGTAGAGCACCAGCTCCACTGCAGCCTACCACCACGGCCAGTAGTGGTGCCGGTGTGCACGAAGGAAGTAGCAGTCAGGGCCAGTGAGGAGTAGCGGGGGCAAAGTTTCCTACTCGGCGGTGTGGAAATTTTTGTCAAGCCGCCCGAGGAAGTAAACGTAGCCGTATGTCGACTATGTGGCCAGAAAGTCAAGCGTGGCCAGGGGGCCCATGTCTCCATCGCCACACTCTGCCATGTGCCACTTTCAGGTCTCCTCACGCTGCTGGTGGGTTCCATTTTGTCATAAAGTGCTGGCAGATTACGGGCCTCCCATTGCTGCTGCCAGGCCCGTAATCTGTCATGGGCCCCTGTACCGCCTCTAATCATGCTGCTGCCAGGTCCAGAGTGTGTCATGGGTCCCTGTACGGCCTCCCATTGCTGCTGTCTCCATCGCCACAGTCTGCCATGTGCCACTTTCAGGTCTCCTCACACTGCTGGTGGGTTCCATTTTGTCATAGGGTGCTGGCAGATTACGGGCCTCCCATTGCTGCTGCCAGGCCCGTAATCTGCCATGGGCCCCCGTACCGCCTCCTCATGCTGCTGCCAGGTCCAGAGTGTCTCATGGGTCCCTGTACGGCCTCCCATTGCTGCTGTCTCCATCGCCACACTCTGCCATGTGCCACTTTCAGGTCTCCTCACACTGCTGGTGGGTTCCATTTTGTCATAGGGTGCTGGCAGATTACGGGCCTCCCATTGCTGCTGCCAGGCCCGTAATCTGCCATGGGCCCCCGTACCGCCTCCTCATGCTGCTGCCAGGTCCAGAGTGTCTCATGGGTCCCTGTACGGCCTCCCATTGCTGCTGTCTCCATCGCCACACTCTGCCATGTGCCACTTTCAGGTCTCCTCACACTGCTGGTGGGTTCCATTTTGTCATAGGGTGCTGGCAGATTACGGGCCTCCCATTGCTGCTGCCAGGCCCGTAATCTGCCATGGGCCCCCGTACCGCCTTCTCATGCTGCTGCCAGGTCCAGAGTGTCTCATGGGTCCCTGTACGGCCTCCCATTGCTGCTGTCTCCATCGCCACACTCTGCCATGTGCCACTTTTAGGTCTCCTCACACTGCTGGTGGGTTCCATTTTGTCATAGGGTGCTGGCAGATTACGGGCCTCCCATTGCTGCTGCCAGGCCCCCGTAATCTGCCATGGGCCCCCGTACCGCCTCCTCATGCTGCTGCCAGGTCCAGAGTCTCTCATGGGTCCCTGTACGACCTCCCATTGCTGCTGTCTCCATCGCCACACTCTGCCATGTGCCACTTTCAGGTCTCTCCTCACACTGCTGGTGGGTTCCATTGTGTCATAGGGTGCTGGCAGATTACGTGCCTCCCATTGCTGCTGCCAGGCCCGTAATCTGCCATGGGCCCCCGTACCGCCTCCTCATGCTGCTGCCAGGTCCAGAGTGTCTCATGGGTCCCTGTACGGCCTCCCATTGCTGCTGTCTCCATCGCCACACTCTGCCATGTGCCACTTTCAGGTCTCCTCACACTGCTGGTGGGTTCCATTTTGTCATAGGGTGCTGGCAGATTACGGGCCTCCCATTGCTGCTGCCAGGCCCGTAATCTGCCATGGGCCCCCGTACCGCCTCCTCATGCTGCTGCCAGGTCCAGAGTGTCTCATGGGTCCCTGTACGGCCTCCCATTGCTGCTGTCTCCATCGCCACACTCTGCCATGTGCCACTTTCAGGTCTCCTCACACTGCTGGTGGGTTCCATTTTGTGTCATAGGGTGCTGGCAGATTACGGGTCTCCCATTGCTGCTGCCAGGCCCGTAATCTGCCATGGGCCCCCGTACCACCTCCTCATGCTGCTGCCAGGTCCAGAGTGTCTCATGGGTCCCTGTACGGCCTCCCATTGCTGCTGTCTCCATCGCCACACTCTGCCATGTGCCACTTTCAGGTCTCCTCACACTGCTGGTGGGTTCCATTTTGTCATAGGGTGCTGGCAGATTACGGGCCTCCCATTGCTGCTGCCAGGCCCGTAATCTGCCATGGGCCCCCGTACCGCCTCCTCATGCTGCTGCCAGGTCCAGAGTGTCTCTCATGGGTCCCTGTACGGCCTCCCATTGCTGCTGTCTCCATCGCCACACTCTGCCATGTGCCACTTTCAGGTCTCCTCACACTGCTGGTGGGTTCCATTTTGTCATAGGGTGCTGGCAGATTACGGGCCTCCCATTGCTGCTGCCAGGCCCGTAATCTGCCATGGGCCCCCGTACCGCCCTCTTCATGCTGCTGCCAGGTCCAGAGTGTCTCATGGGTCCCTGTACGGCCTCCCATTGCTGCTGTCTCCATCGCCACACTCTGCCATGTGCCACTTTCAGGTCTCCTCACACTGCTGGTGGGTTCCATTTTGTCATAGGGTGCTGGCAGATTACGGGCCTCCCATTGCTGCTGCCAGGCCCGTAATCTGCCATGGGCCCCCGTACCGCCTCCTCATGCTGCTGCCAGGTCCAGAGTGTCTCATGGGTCCCTGTATGGCCTCCCATTGCTGCTGTCTCCATCGCCACACTCTGCCATGTGCCACTTTCAGGTCTCCTCACACTGCTGGTGGGTTCCATTTTGTCATAGGGTGCTGGCAGATTACGGGCCTCCCATTGCTGCTGCCAGGCCCGTAATCTGCCATGGGCCCCCGTACCGCCTCCTCATGCTGCTGCCAGGTCCAGAGTCTCTCATGGGTCCCTGTACGGCCTCCCATTGCTGCTGTCTCCATCGCCACCCTCTGCCATGTGCCACTTTCAGGTCTCCTCACACTGCTGGTGGGTTCCATTTTGTCATAGGGTGCTGGCAGATTACGGGCCTCCCATTGCTGCTGCCAGGCCCGTAATCTGCCATGGGCCCCCGTACCGCCTCCTCATGCTGCTGCCAGGTCCAGAGTGTCTCATGGGTCCCTGTATGGCCTCCCATTGCTGCTGTCTCCATCGCCACACTCTGCCATGTGCCACTTTCAGGTCTCCTCACACTGCTGGTGGGTTCCATTTTGTCATAGGGTGCTGTATGGCCTCCCATTGCTGCTGCCTCCACCGCCACACTGTGGCTCCACACTCTGGTTTTGGCCCCGTGACTGCCCAAATGAGTGAAGTGTGCGGTGATTCTAAGATCGACGGCACTCATCTGCATGTCATACTGGCTGACAGTATTATTTCTCTTCCCCAGCAGACTCCAAGGGCATTTAAATTAAAGGTACAGTGTTCTGCACTGATATAAAGGCTCTCTGAAGCCTAGAAACACCCTTTTTATAAGTTAAATTCGCAGCGAATATATTCGACTCGAATCGAATTTATTCCGCGAATTCGCCGAATCAGCCAAATCGAATTTTTGAATACTTCGCTCATCTCTAGCTATAAACAAAAAATGACCAAAAATTTTGAAAGAAAAATCATATTTTTTACTTTCGGCTATAAAAAATATATAATAAACTCAAAGTTAGTCATAAATTTAGGCCAAAATGTATTCTGCTACATGTCTTTGGTAAAAAAAATCCCAATAAGTGTATATTGATTGCTTTGTGTGAAAGTTATAGCGTCTACAAACTATGGTGTAGATAATGGAATTTACACAGCTTTTACTTTCTGACTGCCCATCACATTTCTTGAGGTGCTAAAATACCAGGACAGTACAAACACCCCCAAATGACCTTTTTTCAGACAGACACGCTAAGCTATCTGCTGAGTGGCATATTGAGTCCATGGGAAAAATTTTTTTTTTTTCCACAAATCTTTTGAAAATGACAAAAAAAATGTTTTTTTACACAAAGTTGTCAATTAAATTATATATTGCTCACACAAGCCATGGGTATATGTGGAATTACACCCCAAAATACATTCTGCCACTTCTACCGAGTATGGGGATACCACATGTGTGAGACATTTTGGGAGCTCAACCACATACATGAGCCTAAAATCCAATGACCACTTTGAAAGCCTGAAGGTGCGTAACTTCCTCATTTCACTTCCTCACTACCTATCACAGTTTTGGAGGCCCTGAAATGCCAGGATGGCACCAAACACCCCCCCCCCCCCAAATGACCCCTTTTTGGAAAGTAGACACCCCAAGGAATTTAAACAGAGGCATGGTGAGTATTTTTCAGATCTAATTTTTTCTCACAAGGTTTTGAAATATACAAAAAGAAAAAATATGTTTTTGTTCTCTTTCTTCGTTTTTCAAAAAATTGTGGCAGCAAACGAGATCTGCAAAATACTCACCATGCTACTTATCAAATTTCTTCAGGGTGTATTTCCAAAAAAGGGGTAATTTGGGGGGGTTTGGTGCTGTCCTGGCATTTCAGGGCCTCAGAATTTGGGTGTATATGCTATGATAGCTATTCAGGAAGTGTAATGAGGAAATAAAGCCCTTTAACAGCCTGAAGGTGCTTATTGGATTTTGGGGTCCTATACTTGGCTAGACTGCCAAAAAAATCGCTCACATGTGGTATCCCCATACTTGGGAGAAGTAGCAGAATGTATTTTGGGGATAAATTCCACATATGCCCATGTCATGTGTGAGCATCATTTAAGTGACAATTTTGTGTAAAAAAACATTTTTTTTGTAATTTTCCAAAAACTTGTAAAAAAATAAATTCTTCCATTGACTCAACATGGCTCTTAGCAAATAGTTTGGTGTGTCTACTTTCCAAAAAGGGGTCATTTTGGGGGGGCAATTATTTGGTAAAATATAAAAGATGATGGTATGCTAAGTAAATAGATACCTAACATGACATGTTTTTAAAACTGTGGATGCCCCGTGCAATGGCAACAAACTGCATACATTTTTAATATCCATAGGCAACGCTTTAAAAGCCTTTACAAAATACCATTTTAGATTTACAAAGGAGGTCTAGCGCTAGAATTACTGCCCTTGATCGGACGTTTGCAGCGATACCTCACATGCATGGTGCAACTGCTGTTTACATACTGGCACTGGGTCAATGCTCGCAAACGGAGGTGCGTGCGCGCCGGAGGGGGGGGGGGGGGCGGGAGGGTGAGGGTGCTTTTTTTTAAGTTAATTTAATTTTTTAAATTATTTTTACACTGTCCCTCTCATTTTTTTTTTTTATTTGATCACTTTATTTGATCAGCTGCAGGCATCATCCTGGTATAACCACTCAGAGTCCAGTGATATACCAGTACGTCGTTGGTCCTTGTTAGGTGTATATGCTATGTTCTTTTTTTTTTGTATGCAGCCTGTGGGCTGTATGAAAAAAAGAGAAATCTCTGCCATACAAAAGTGTGTGGTATACCCACCATTAGAATATACCACCCTGCATCGACCCACTTCGAATGGTGGGCACACATGAAATGTGACAAAAAATATTATTATATATGCCGAAGCATTGGGGGGGCCATCCCCCATTGGTTACCCCAGGCCCCCATGCTTCAGCATATATGCTCTTTTTTTTAACTGCGGATGAAAAATCTCTTCCAACAGTGCTGCCCACACTGACTTATGTATATTCTGAGAGAAAGACCCTGTTGCTGTCAGAATAAACAGGTCGGTGCTGCAACTGAATGACAGTCCTGCAAAGAAAACAGCAATGGTTAACAATAAAACAGTAACAATACAACAATAAAATCGTAGCAGTAGAACAGTAACAGCAATGACAACAAAAAAAAACAAAACTATTTTTGGTTTTTAAAATTTTTTTTTTTTGGACTTGAACTTTATATTTTTTGGGTTTTTTTTTATATTTTGTTTGTAAACTTTGACTTTTCAAAACAGTTTGTAGGGTCTCTCAAAATGCGATAGCCAGTTTCCTGACTACCTAACATCTTTCGAGACCCTGTGTAATTGTGTAATTATGTGCCCTGAACTGTGCCGTGCTGTACCCTATACTAATACTCCATTAGTGTGTGGTAGTGAAGCAGTCCTTGAGGCAGAGACCAGGTTGGCCAGGACAGGAGGGACAAAAAAAAGCAGATGTCGCGTCTTATTCCGTGTCTGCTACAGACATGACATCTTCTTTGGGGTGACCTTTGGGTTGGGGTACCAGAGAAGACATCTGGAAAATGCCTCTCATGCAGTCGGCTAACTGCATCTTGATTTGAGGATTGGGCCACAGCACCTTCTGGATACAAAAGGGCCCTGATGATCTCTTCTGGAATTTTAGGAAGGATCCACTTCGTCCAGTTGCTTTGTAAATTACAAAAGAGCCAATTGAAATAAATAAATAGACACCTTTTTGTACCAGTGTCGAGCTTTCCGGGAGACTAAGTATGGCTTCATCATCTGGTCATTGAAGTCCACCCCTCCCATGTTAAGGTTATACTTGTGGACACAGAAGTGTTTCTCAACAATGCCAGATACCGTGTTAGTTTGGACTATCGCGTCTGCGTGAATGGAAGACAGGACGTAAACATCCAGTTTGTCCTTCCACTTCACTGCAAGCAATTCATCATTCCTCAAGCAGGCTTTCTCCCCCTTTCTAAGTTGGGTATTTACAAGTCGTTGGGGGAAACCCCGGCGATAAAGTCGCACGTTGCCACATGAGCCAATTCCAAGATTGTACAAATGTCGAAATAACGGCACGTTTGTACAGAGATTGTCCACGTAAAAGTGGTACCCCTTACGGAACAAATATGACACCAAGTCCCAAACTATCTTCCACTGCTCTCCATGTAGTCTGGGCAGTTGGGGGCTCTACTTCGCTGTCTCTTCCCTCATAAACCCTAAATTTGTATGTATAGCCTATGGCCCTCTCAGAGAGCTTATACAATTTGACCCCATATCTGGCACGCTTGCTGGGGATGCACTGTTTGAATGCAAGGCGGCCAGTAAAGCAAATGAGCGACTCCTCCACACAGATGTTTTGCTGGGGCGTATACACATCTGCAAATTTCTCAGTGAGGTGGTTTATGAGGGGCTGAATTTTGTAGAACCTGTCATGTTCAGGGTCACCTCGAGGATGACAGAGTGTGTTATCACTGAAATGCATGAAGCGCATTATCGTCTCATATCTATGCCTGGCCATGGCACCAGAGGACAGGGGCATATGATGAATTGGGTCTGTGGACCAATACGACCGCAACTCATTCTTTTTGTAATGTTGAGGGTTAGGCTCAAAAAAGTTTTAAATTATAACCGTAATGGGTTTCCATGCAAATGGTCTGGCATGGTTTGAATATGGGTTGGTGGCAATATATTGTTGTGCATATAAATTGCTTTGACCCACAATCAAATTGTACAAATCTTCTGTGAAAAACAGCTCCAAAAAATCAAGGGGGGAGTAGTTAAATTTGCTGTTTCCACCTGAATTCCAGGTTGGGCAGTGAATGGGGGAAGTACGGGTGCTGCAGAATCTGTGGGCTGCCAATCAGGATTTGTAAGCACGTCCAGAAGGACACTAGGGGCTTTACAGGCCTGTGTGTGAATTCTTTGTGGTTGTGGGATAATACTTGTGCTTGCCACTGTGCCAGCTTGTACTGCACTTATGGGACTCGCCATGTCACCAAGTGATACTGCAGTGCTGGTATAAAAAAGACCAGGATATACTAGGCTGCTGGTGCTTGCTAGTTCACCAAAAGGTAGTGTGGCACTAGTACTGGTACTCTGCTGCATATGAGACAAGTCATGCAATCCTAGCACTTCAGCTTCAAGGGGTCAGGTACACCTGATCTTAACAGGGACTTCTTCTCCATCGTCCGAGCTACCTGTCAGGGTGCCACTGCTGTCTACAGGTTCATATTTTGAGGCTGATTGTGTCAGGGAGACTTTCCCTTTGCTCTCACCTGACATGCTCAGAATCCTGTAGGCCTCTTCACTAGAGTACCGTTCGTTGGACATTTTGGACTCTACATTTACAGGTACCTAGTGCGACTGATGGGAAAAAGAGAGCACATGGCTGTCAGGGACTGCTTGAACCGCTGCAAAAAAAATTTACCGGCAAGGGCTAACAGAGATCAGGCCTGATTCTGCGAACACTGCTTTGTGTGGTTTTGTGTGTAATGTATTACAGGTGACAGTGATCAGAAATTATATTGACACTGCACTTCTTGTTAGGGGTGAGGGGAGCATTGGGGCTAAACGCTAGTGCTGGCAGCGAACGTGGATGATCCTGCTAACACTGCGTTTTTGGGGACACTAATACTAAGGGGGCACATGTATAGTTTAGTTTGTGATCAACATATTGATCTGTACAAACACTATACTAGTAATTATAATTATTATTATTATACAGAATTCATATAGTGCCAATAGTTTGCTCAGCGCTT